ATATACATATATATTATTTTTATGAATTTTTTTTATTGTTTTAATGTTTAGAATCCATTCTTTAAAAGTGTCTTATATTTTTATAGAAATTAAAATTATCCTGTGTATACATATTACATGGTTTAATAAAATGTTATATTTTATTTAATAATCTAATATTTTAATAGAACACATCTTTTTTATTATGATTGAAAATTATTTGATTTAATAATTGATTTGATATTAAACAAAATAGATATTATTTTAGTAGCTATAAATTTTATTGTACTGTAATTATTAATATACAAATTAAGATGTTCGCCGAATCTAAAATATAATATAACAAAAGATGAATTACACTTAAGATCTAAGTAAAAGATGAAAATTATAAAAGAATCTTGAAAAGGATTTCTGGTGTAGTACAGACCATATCTTGTATGAAAAAAAATATAAGGATACCCTGATATGATTCCAAGTTGGAAGGGTTAAATCTAATTAACTCGAACTGGAACAGGGTAAAATGCGTATAATAAATATGTAATTAACGAACAATAAAATCTATTCTATATCGTGTCAAACAGTTTCCTTCTAATAAGATTTTAGATTGATTTGCATATGCGCATAGAACGAAAGATGACACGATATAGAAAAAAAACTTAAAATATTGTACGCATTATTGATCGCTTCAAATATTATAGCAAATTTTCTAGTAAAACTAGAAAATAATGAAGAAAATATGAAAATAAAATTATTAAACGCCATATCGATAGCTTAAACTTTTCAATCTATAAATACATAATTGATCCGTACACACTCTTTAATTGTACCTACATATATTTTAGAAAGGGTACCAGTTAAATCAGTGGACACTTGTTACATGCAAATCGATTTTATGTAATACATATATGATCAAAATAGAAGCTATTTTAATTGTAGATTTTCAAATAGACTAGAAACTTAATATAAGGATTTACAAAATTTTATCTTTTCATGTAATGCCAGTTTAGCGTTACTTAGACCGCTAAATTGATATAAACATTATTACCATTTTTACCATAACATTTTGTTGTGTTGAAAATGTCTCAGTTTCATCCGAATCTTCTATCAGTCTTTAAAAAGTAATTAAACTTTATACTTGTTTAGAAGAATACAAATCAGTTTACGATGGAAACAAAATACAGATCTTCTTTCTTGCAAATTTATCTATTACGAAGATGTACAGCGACACATTTTCTGCGATATACATCATGAGTCGTGATACATATTACTAAACTTTCTACATTCTTCATCGACGTTCAATATATACAAAATTGAATAAATAATCGAGCATAATTACTGCTACGTACTACCGATTTTTAATTTTCTTCATAATCATGAAATTTATCAATATATGTATATACAACACGCAAAGTGAATAGGAAT